CTCAAAATCCAGAAACAATAACGACAAAGACTGACAAAATTGATGACAAAGAAATGTAAAACTTGCATGTGTCAAATAAACAAAAACATAAAATTGAAAAGGCAAATTAACAGCTGGTGAAAATATTTTCTATTTATGTCCTTCCAAAGGGATATCTCTCCAACACAAAAAAGAGCTCCTAGAAATCAATTTTAAAAAGCAGAACAACAAACCAATTGAAAAATGGGCGGAAGTCATAGTCCAGCAGTTCATATGAAAAGAAAAGCAAATGGCCCTTAAATGTATGAATGTATGCTCATCTCACTAGAATAAATGAATGCAAAGGAAAAACACAATGAGAAACGACTTCTCACCTAACCATCAAATTGGCAAAAATTTAAAAATTGACAAAACTATGGTAGAGGTTGAGAGAAATTAGGCGTTCTCATCCATTGCTAGCGGAGATACAAGGTGATACAATCCCATGGAGAGGAATGTGGCAACATATAACAAAATTACAAGACTTTGACCCTTTAACATTCCTACTTCTAAGAATATAATGTTATACCTGTTACTTTACACCAAATTTCTATATATGTTTTTAGAGCCCAGACTCAGGCACTATACACTGTTTCTCCATGCTGTATTGTGCCATTCAATAATTTGTATACTGCCGTGTATCATTTCTTCTTCTTTTTTTTTTGAGATGGAATCTTGCTTTGTTGCCCAGGCTGGAGTGCAGTGGTGTCATCTCTGCTCACTGCAACCTCTGCCTCCCAGGTTCAAGCGATTCTCCTGCCTCAACCTCCTGAGTAGCTGGGATTACAGGCACTCACCGCCATGCCCGGCTAATTGTTGTATTTTTAGAAGAGACAGGGTTTCACGATGTTGGTCAGGCTAGTCTTGAACTTTCTTGTGATCTGCCCTCCTTGGCCTCTCAAAGTGCTAGGGATTACAGGCATGAGCTACCACACCCAGCCTCATTTCTTCTTTTATTAAATTTTTTATGTTATTCTGTAATACAGCTGTACACATATAAAGTTATATATACATTATCATTTATAGCAACAAAAGATTATTTAAAACACACAAATATTCATCAATAAACATTGGTTAAATGAAACTAAGGTATATCTTCATAGTGGAAACTGTGGATCTTTCTCTAGATGGATTATTTAAAAAAACATAAAAAAGAATGTTGCTATGAGAGACTCCCAGGATATAATGTTAAGTTGAAAACGCAACATAGAAGATAGTCTGGTATGTATGTATGCTACCTTTTCATAGGTCACACACACACACACACACACACATTTACAATTATCATCTCATGATTTATAGATATCTAAATATTGTGAGATGATAATGATTATACACACACACATCTATATGTGTGTATATATACACATATTTGTATATAGCCCATACATATATACACACACATATATGTATAGAATGTATAGCAATATATATTACAGCAATAAAAACTTATTAAAAACACAAATATTCATCAACAAACATTGGATGAAACTAGGTACCTCTTTGTAATGGAAACTATATGACTTTATTTGTATCTATAGGATATACGCATAAGGTATAGATGTATAGAATATATGCTGTATATAGAATATATTCATATATATGTATAGGAGATATATCTCTGTCTACAGAACCTAGTCCATAATGCTCCCAGGCCAATAACCAACTCCACTGCCCAAATGTATGTCTCTAAATGCTGTTTCCCAGTACTGGTACCAGGATTCTTGGAATAATGGTTGCTCCTAGGTCTCATATAGAGAATTTACAAGGTGAGCTTAAGGCATCTCATTGTGCTGCAAAACACAGCGTGGAAGCTCTAAAAATCTAAGTGAGTCATGTCAAAAGAACCCTGGAGCCAACTTGAAGTAGATCTCATTGGTCAAAGATGAGACAATTTGAGTGTCTGAAAGAAAAATGTCATCATAACTGATTGGTATGCAGTGACTACATAAAAATCCACAAGTCAATAATAATACTGCTTACACAATTCATAGAACAAGGCATACCAATTGTCACTCCAAAATGCTTTTGTGTTCCTTGTCTGAATGGTTGAGCAAGTTTTCCTTTTTCTGACAGAACTGAATTCTTCAAGATCCAGCTCAGATGCTGCTTCCTCTGGGAAGCTTTCCCTAAAGCCTCCATGTGATCATTCATTCTCTGTATTCCATCAGAGCTCGTTGTACATGCCTCTTTAAATGCACCTATCAATACTGCATTAACAATTACTTATTTAACTGTATTTTCTCTCTAGACTGTAAGTTTATAAATATAACACCTGCCTGGGTTTTATTTATTTTGTTGCTCCTAGTATCTACCACATACTAAAGATAGCTTTATATACAATATTACATAATATTTTACATGTTATGAATAAATAGATCAATTTCAATAGCATCCTCTGTTTCTTCTTGGTCTCGCAATATAGATTTGTCCATATTTTAGAAACTGGCTGAGTGCCATTACATGCTTCACTATTTTAGCTAACGTGAAAAAAAATCGATCACAATAGTTTTTTGGTGTTTTTTTTTTTTTCAAGTTTTTTCACCTATCAACCATAGCTTTAGCACTGAGTAGACTAGAAAATATCCCACAGTATTTTCCTGATTCTCAGCCTTAGACAATAACTTCCCATTTGTATTCTGATCTATCCCAGTCTATTTTCTCTCCCTTTCTTTCCGCATACATAAATCTACTGGTAATATAGGGCAGAGAGTAGCAAAGTCAAAATTACTGATTAAATAAAAACTTGTTAGTAATTGGTGGTTTGACTTAGTTGTAACATTTAAAAAATAGTAGTCTGAAATTAATGCTTTTAAAACTTAATTTGTGGCTGAGTGTGGTGGCTCATGCCTGTAACCGCAGCAATTTGGGAGGCCAAGGCGGGCAGATCACGATATCTGGAGATCGAGAGCATTCTGGCTAACACGGTGAAACCCCGTCTCTACTAAAAAAACAAAAGATTAGCCGGACGTGGTGGTGGGCCCCTGTAGTCCCAGCTACTAGGAAGGCTGAGGCAGGAGAATCACTTGAACCAGGGAGGCGGAGGTTGCAGTGAGCAGAGATCACATCACTGCACTCCAGCCTGGGCAACAGATAGAGACTTTGTCTCAAAAAAAAAAAAAAACCAAAAACCCACACACAACAAAACCTCAATTTGATCCAATGTCTAACACACCAGCGGCAACCAAGCCACTATGTTAAATTTCCTGTGTGAAACTTCTCTCCTCTCGTGTAGTCTTTTACTGTATGGAGTCTTTCACGCACACGTGCACACATTCAGTCTTAGGTCTTTGTGGACTTTTAGGCATTAACAATTTAGGTGTAGAGGTGGTGCAAACTGTCTGTGAAAGGCACGTACAAACGCGTTCAGCTGGGGGGAAAACTCCCATACACAGTAGGTGGCATCTCATTGGGCGAACGCCGATGTGTGTGGTCAAGGCAGTAGCTAACGCCGGCCTGTGCTTCGGGGGAGTCTGCCCCGCTCCTCCGTGGGGTAGCACCGAGGCGTTCGAAGCGTGCGTTGAAGCAGGTGAGTGATGCGCAGCCGCCCCTGGAGCTGCGCTGTGCGGCAGGAGGGCTGTGGCGCTGGCCGCGGTGCTGAACTTGTTTCCCGGCGGTCCCGAAGTTGGTGGGCCGGGAGGGGCCGCTCGGGTTTGGGAATTCGCTGGCAACCGGCAGCCTCACGTCCTCGGGTGTGGATTTCTGCCTCTGAGCAGGAGACGCACAGACTCCTGAGGGCCATCTGGCTAGTGTAGGGTTGGCCTTTGACCTATTCCCACCGGCAAGCTTCTACTTCTCAACAACGCGTCTCCTGTTTATTGAATGCCTCCGGTGGTCCCTGACACTTGACATTCACCCCCAGTGGTCCGCACAAAACACTGCAATTCAAAGAAAAAGAAGTCACGCCCAGGAGGTTGAAGACCTTGCCCAAGGGAACACGACTACCAAATGGCTGATCTCTCTCCATGATGCTCAAAAATGTTTCCTGCACACTATCCACGTGCCTGCCTCATCGCCTCTTCTTGCTGGCTCCACACACCTCCAACTCTGCCTTTTTCCTTTCTCCTGTTCCCTCCCCGATACCCTCGGCACCCCGCCACCAGGTTTGCATCAAGCAAAAGTAACTTCCCCTACAGCAGACCCTCTATCACCGCCAAGTGATACAAAAAACTGGGATTCAGGACAGGGTTTATTCACACATTTTGCCCCATGCGCTCAGCAGTCGAAACCGAGTGGGAGATTCAACACTGGTCCCCGAGACCCCAGCTTGCTGTGTGACCTTGGACAAGTAGTCACATCGCTGAACCTGAGTTCTAGAACTGTGTGAGATTATTCTTCGGTGCTCATTGGTATGGATACAAACACAAGGTCCTTCTTTTTCTCCTCTCTCTATCCTTCTCAAGTTGGGTTGGGCAAGCTCGCTTTTTCTTCCCACCAGGGCCATAACCAGCTCTAGCCCTTGTGGAGAAAGAAATCAGGTCCCAGCTGCTAAAGGTGTTCTCCCCACCCCCAACCCCCGGGTGCGACCTGTTCTTCCGGGGCACACTAGCCCAGCGTCGCTCAGGGCTCCGGAGAGAGCTTCTCAGGCTCCCGCTTCGCGGCGCCTGGTCCCTGCGGTCCTCACGCGCTGGGACGCTTTGGGAAGTGCGAGATGGAGCTGGGGCGAGAATGCGAATACAAGGCAGGGCTGGTGACAGGTATGTGTGTGGGCGCCGGCCGGAGGCTGTGTTGGGAGAGAGAAACTTTGGGGGAGACGGTGGGGGAAAGGGGAGGTGCCAGAGAAAGCGGTGGGTCACTCACCCGCTGACCATTAGTCTCTCTCCCTCTTCCACGTCCCGACCTCACCTCCTCCCTCGGCTTCTGCCTCTCACCTCCCTCTCTTTCGTCTCCAAGCATCCTGCCTCCGCGTCTGCACCCACTCCTCCCTCGCGCCCTCCCGCGCCTAAGGGGACCTCCTCGGGAGCCAGCTTGGTCCACTCTCCCAGCGCTGTCAGGTCCCAGAGACTGTTCGGCTGAGCCGGCAGCATGTGGAACGCGACGCCCAGCGAAGAGCCGGGGCTCAACCTCACGCTGGCGGACCTGGACTGGAATGCAGCCCCCGGCAACGACTCTCTGGGCTACGAGCTGCTGCCGCCCTTCACTGCGCCGCTGCTGGCGGGCGTCACAGCCACCTGCGTGGCGCTCTTCGTGGTGGGCATCGCTGGTAACCTGCTCACCATGCTGGTGGTGTCGCGCTTCCGCGAGCTGCGCACCACCACCAACCTCTACCTGTCCAGCATGGCCTTCTCCGACCTGCTCATCTTCCTCTGCATGCCCCTGGACCTCGTTCGCCTCTGGCAGTACCGGCCCTGGAACTTCGGCGACCTGCTTTGCAAACTCTTCCAATTCGTCAGCGAGAGCTGCACCTACGCCACGGTGCTCACCATCACAGCGCTGAGCGTCGAGCGCTACTTCGCCATCTGCTTCCCGCTGCGGGCCAAGGTGGTGGTCACCAAGGGCCGGGTGAAGCTGGTCATCCTCGTCATCTGGGCCGTGGCCTTCTGCAGCGCTGGGCCCATCTTCGTGCTAGTCGGGGTGGAGCATGAGAACGGGACCGACCCTTGGGACACCAACGAGTGCCGCCCCACCGAGTTCGCGGTGCGCTCTGGACTGCTCACGGTCATGGTGTGGGTGTCCAGCGTCTTCTTCTTCCTTCCTGTCTTCTGTCTCACGGTCCTCTACAGTCTCATCGGCAGGAAGCTGTGGCGGAGGAAGCGCGGCGATGCTGCCGTGGGCGCCTCGCTCAAGGACCAGAACCACAAGCAAACCGTGAAAATGCTGGGTGGGTCTCAGAGCGCGCTCGAGCTTTCTCTCGCGGGTCCCCTCGTCTCCCTGTGCCTTCTCCCTTCTCTCTGAGTCTCCATCTCTATTTCCCCCTGAGCCTCTACCTCTTTTTTCAGTTTCTCTGGGCCTCTGTCTCTCTGCGTGTCTCTCAATTATTCTCTCCCCTTGCTTTCTTGAGTGATGTCTTTGGTCTCTCGATCTCTGTGTCTCTGTCACTCTCTCCTCCCCCTTTGTCCATGTCTTGACTCTTTCTTACCGTCTCTACCTCTTTGTGTCTCTTTCTTCCTGTCTCCCCTTTCTCTCTTTCATGCAAAAATGTCCCACATTTGTATTTCCCTAAAATGAATTTTATATCAGCCTAGGAACTCCACTTTAAAATTGAGATATCTCATAAAAGTCTATTGTGGTCTTAAGCGTTAAAAGTGAGGACTGACTTCCTGCCTCAAATAGGATTTGTGAATATCTAGGTTACATTAAGAAAAGCAGGGCTTGGATCTAGAAAGTATTCAGTGGTAAATTCAACCAAAGACATGATCAATTTGGATACACCTATTAGAGATTATTCATTTTTCTTTCAATATTGTGATTTGTTTTCTGCTCTGCATTTTTTCAGATAATTGCATCAATTCTGTTTACCTTTTGCTGTTTATACAGCTTTGTAAGGAAGTCAGTGACAAATCAGTAGTCTCATTTGTTTTCATGATTACCTGCCTCTTCAGGTAGGATACAGTAGGGTAAGGTAAAGATAAGCTAGAATAAACAAAGCTCCAACAGGAGAAAAAGAGACTTTGTGGAAACCAACAGAATTTACTGCTTCCCCAAATGACCCTTCAGGAACATCTGGGTACAATGTCATAACTGGATTTGCAGAATGTTTATTGCACAAATTCAGTGACTTTAAGTATATGTGTTTGGTACAAGTGAGTAATAAAAAATGTGTTTATATCCCAGCAAAATATTAATTCTACTTGCATTTTCAAAACCAAGGTCTGTATATTTTATTATTTAGATATTATAGTCAAGACTTCATGCTTACTGACATATTTTAAAGCTTCTTAGAAGTCATTCCAGGATGATTTCATATTTCCAATTTTACAATTCCTGGATCTTGCATATTAAAGTGATAGAGTTTATTAAAGGAATGTCAAAGATTTTATTTTCTGGACCAGTGACTCTCATGGTTAGAACTCATAGGTTCTAAGCCCACTAGTGTTAGAGGACTCTCAGCTCTCACCTATGAGATTCAGATTGTTCCTGTGGCAGTTAAGTTGCTACTATAAACTTAGGTTTAAGGACGAGTTTAATACTTTCCTCCAATTTTATTTTCAAGCCATTAATTTCCTCATTGGTGTCTCAACACCAATGTTAACTTTCTTCTTCCTGGACAATTTGAAGGGGATCACTAAAATGTTACAAAGACTGAAAAATTATTTGCTATTATTTTTCCCCGATTTCTGAATTTCAAACAACCTAAAAACTTAGACATCGTTAATTATCTTACACAGGCAAAATGAAGACTTGGATGGATGATAATTTATATGAGTTGGTTTAATAACAGCCTTACTTATATCTACTGTAGGTGGCATAGAATCACCCATCTCAGTGATTCTTAATCCTGATTGTATGTTCAATCCTCTGTGAAACTTTAGAAAAAAAGAAAAGGAAAAGCGTGTCCCCTGATCTCCCTCTTAGAGATTTAAATTGACCGAGTCTATACTACATCCAAGGAATCTGCATTGTTTACAAAAGTGCCCCAGGAGACTCAGATACACAGCTGTGGTTGGGTACAACAATTTTATATGTCTGTCTAACACATAACAACCGCTGGACTATTGTGAATAAATGGTCTAGTCAGTTGAGTCAATATGTCAACTCAACACAAAATCACTCAGGTAGTTGTTAAATAGAAATGACTGGGAAGCTTGGTAAAAATTGTTGAACTGTTGGTCTAGACAGACTGAATCTTTGTTAAAATGTAGGAATGAGGAAAAGGAGACCACAATGTTTCTCTGAAGTCAATGGTCATAGTCCATGAAACAAAACCAAGTCTTAAAAATAGAATGTGATTTGCTATGACATTTCTTGAGCTGATTATCTCTCTCCCATTGTCCTTCTAGCTGTAGTGGTGTTTGCTTTCATCCTCTGCTGGCTGCCCTTCCACGTAGGGCGATATTTATTTTCCAAATCCTTTGAGCCTGGCTCCTTGGAGATTGCTCAGATCAGCCAGTATTGCAACCTCGTGTCCTTTGTCCTCTTCTACCTCAGCGCTGCCATCAACCCTATTCTGTACAACATCATGTCCAAGAAGTACCGGGTGGCGGTGTTCAGACTTCTGGGATTCGAACCCTTCTCCCAGAGAAAGCTCTCCACTCTGAAGGATGAAAGTTCTCGGGCCTGGACAGAATCTAGTATTAATACATGACCTAGCACATTGCTGATTACAGTCACTGCTTATTCTAAACCGGAAGCCATAGCAGAGCAGAATTTGGGAGGAAGCTGAAGGTTAATTTTGGAATTAGGAACATGTAGATCCTGAAACAACTGGGAGGGAAAAAAGACATCATTTGTAGGGTGTGAGCAGTTTGATTTGATTGCACACTTATTAGTGCTCTCATACACTATTTCTGCATATTCACTGCCTATGATTTTTCATTCTGCTGTGGGTGCTGGTGAGGGCTTTGCAATTCAGAGAAAGGAGGAAGTGCAGAGTGAGCAATTAGGGCACTTCAAGGTGGGTAAAGACAAATTTGCTTTGCTTTTTCATAATGATCAAAATTATTTGGTTAAAAGAATCACTTTACAATAAAAATTTTAAAGTATAACTTTTAAAAACCAGCAATTTTCATAAAGCTCTAGAGCAGTGCTATCCAAGAGAAATATAACATAAGGCACATGAAAAAGTTATTAAAAATAAATTTACATTCTTTTTTTCACACTAACTCTTTGAAATCTGGCATGCTTTTTACATTTACAGAATCCCTCAATTTGGACACTGTTTTCATCAGTAATATTTGATGTATTTAGAGTTCATAAAATTTACAAGTAAAACGTAGATTCAACAACCTAAGTTGTCTAAACACACTTAAAAGTTTTCCAATAACGAAACAACTGTAAATTTTTAAACTTAAAATTAATTAAAGTTAAAAATTCAGTTCTGGCTGGGTGCGGTGGCTCAGCTGGGTGTAATCCCAGCACTTTGGGAGATCGAGGCGGGTGGATCACGAGGTCAAGAGATCGAGACCATCCTGGTCAACATGGTGAAACCCCGTCTCTACTAAAAATACAAAAAAAATTAGCTGGGCGTGGTGGCGCGTGCCTGTAGTCCCAGCTACTCAGGGGGCTGAGGCAGGAGAATTGCCTGAACCCGGGAGTTGGAGGTTGCGGTGAGCCGGGATCGCGCCACTGCACTCCAGCCTGGGTAACAAGAGTGAAACTCCGTCTCAAAAAAAAAAAAAGAAAAAGAAAAGAAAAGAAAAATTCAGTTCTTCAGTTGCACTAGTTACATTGCAAGTATCCAACAGCTCGAGGTTACCACCCAGAACAGTGTGGCTCTAGAGTATATACAAAATTATCATTCACCTTATAGAAAATGTTTAAAAATAAATATCCTTTTCCTAAAATGTTTTTATAGTGATGTTCACACAGCAGACTTTCAGAGTGATGAATACTAAAAAATCATACCTAAATGTCCTGTTCTGTGTGCTCAGAAGAGAATGGATATGAAATGTGTAACATACATTTTTAAATTGAGTTGCATGTGTTAATATTCAGGAAATGGAACTTCATAAAAATTGTAGGTAATCACAAACTGCCTTATATGGCTTAACCAAAGTTTTTAAGCCAATCATAAGGCTTTGATTTGTGAATAAGGGAATAATTTGTAACGTACTCTGGCAAGCTTACGAGAAAGTTAATGAATATAGAAATTTTTCAAGTGATGAAGTCAGGCCCATGTGAAAAACTCAGAATCCTCTAAATGCTACTGCTTATTGATATTAAAAACTTTCGAAGATCTTATCGCCATTTATTTTAAAATACCTATGTTTTGTTCTGTCTCCAAATTGGTTTTGCTGCTCATATCCCATTGCTTATCTGCGAGATATGATCACCTGGATTTCCAGACCCTCTCTTAATTGTAATTATGAATGAGTATGTATCTTCAACTAAATATTGTATATTTGGTTATAAGTATATAATTTTCATTTATGTTGGCATTGCTTCCTATTTAGTCAACCCTTTGCATACTAAAGGTATTAACCCAAAAGTAACTTTTTCATAATCCTGTGAAATGCTGAGTCATATAAGCAGCTCCTTCATAGCTCACAACTGTGGAATGGATGGAACCATTTAGGGAAATTCCTGCCATGACTGTTTTTTCCTTCATCAAAAAGAAAGATGATCGTGATAAAACAATTGACTGACTATTTAGTTTGGAATTATCCAAACACAATCATAATTAGAATTATTTCTCTAGAAAAATATTTCTGAGATCCATTCTGACACTAAAACTGCACCATCAATGTGGTCTAAATACAGAACGTTAGCAAGTTAATTATTTAGTTAATTCTTAAGAGTGCATCAATATTAAAAAACAAAACAAACAAACAAAAAACACTGACTTATTTAAATCCATGGGATTCTAATTAGGGCATTGAGCATTATTGTCTTGGAGAGGGCCCAATAAATCCTAAAGAGGAAGTTCAGCTTCCTGAAGCCTTAGAAAATTTTTGTCTACAAATACATCCTACTTGAGAAGAAACAAACAAGAAAACCTTGACCTCCATCACACAGTTGATTTCTTTGGAGAAAAAAATCCCAACTTTTAATTCATTGCTCAGCCTCTTCTCTTGTGGGTTCATGTCTAGTCTTGGCCTAACTCACTTCCAGGGAGTAGTTAACGTAGTAGGGACCACCACTGTCCTTCACCGGTATTAATCTGGACACTCAGAGAAGATATTGGAGAAAGAGATCTTTAATTTGTCTTCTTATATCATTGCCTGTTTATTGTTTGTAGCTTCTTTATTTTATCATACTCCTTAAATCATTTAAAACTCAGGGAAAGGAGGAACTTACACTGAGGAATATTGTTTGTAAAAGTCCATCATTTCCTAAGCATTTGGTATGTGCCTGATACGTTCTAAACTCTTAACAATCAATAAGCCAAGGATTTCATCCTTAAGAAGCTCACAATCGTGTGTGTTATGTTGCAGTAGGCAACTGATAAATTCTTTAAATTGTGAAGTGAACAGTTTGACACTGGATCAAAGGGCTGGCTGTTCATCCCATTGTGTTGCTGTGTATTTGGCTCAAAATAAATTCAAGATGGGCTGTTCCTCCATCAACTGCTCAATTTTGTAGACACAGTTAATGTGTCTGCTAGCGGTAATTACACTCAACACATTCCTCATTAATGTAGGGAAAGTAAAGTGATCTTTTTTTTACTCTGCGTTTCCATTTTCCTGGTTATCTTGCAATGAGGTGTTTTGTTCCCACACCTTACACTGTGGCACAAAATCAAGTGTTGGATAATTTTCATTACAGGGAGTAACTGTTGTATAAGTAAGAGCTTTTTTTCTTTTTTTTGAGACAAAATTTCTCACTGTTGCCCAGGTTGGAGTGCAGTGGCATGATCTTGGCTTGCTGCAGCCTCCGCCTCCCGGGTTTATGAAATTCTCCTGCCTCAGCCTCCCTAGTAGCTGGGATTACAGGTGCCTACCACCACACCTGGCAAATTTTTTATATTTTTAGTAGAGACGGGGTTTTGCTATGTTGGCCAGACTGGTCTCGAACTCCTGACCTCGTGATTTGCCCGCATCGGCGTCTGAAAGTACTACAATTACAGGTGTGAGCCACCGTGCCCGACCGTAAGTAAGAACTTCTAAGTAATTGCTTTATATGTTCATTGCCATAAGTTATTCAAAATTAGAAGTTTCACTGTAATGAGATTTAGAAGCACCTCTAGTGCCTGGCTACACCTTGAAAATGATTTTATAGTCAACTTTTTATTGCAGTGCAGATTGATGTAATGAGATTTGACTTGAATTTCCACTTTTTCATGATAACACTTTTATTAAGAATCTCATATCATTACAAGCATTCTGTAATTTTTAGTTCAAAGTTGAAAGTTTTAGCTTTTTTTTTCTTTTTTTTGCTGTTTTTTTAATTAATCCACATACTTGAATTTTGGTGTTAAAAAAACTGAGATTTTTTTGCAAGTCTGGTGCCTGAAATCTCTCTTGTCTTTTAAAAAGCAGTATGTATACCTTTAAAACATGACATATATATTTACATGTCAAAATTTCTTGTCACAGTGAGTGAATAGAAGTTTCTGCTTTCACAAACACTGAATCTCTTGTAAGTAATGGTATTAAAGAATAAAGATAATGTCATTAACAGATAAACCATGTCTAATATAGTTCATTAGCTAATGATTAGCCTATTTTTTTTTTTACAATTTAAATTGCAACACCAGCCAGAATATATACAATTGTAACTTAACTGGGTGATTAGTGACCAATGTTAATTCCGTGAACTCACAACATAAATATTTTTTATCTAGAGAATTAACTTTTAGTCAAAATCAGCAGAAAACAATGTGCTAGTGATAGATGTTGTTTTAAGCTAACATAACTTATTCACATTAAATGAATGCAATCATGTTAGTCTTGATAAAAATCTGAGTTTGAAGCTCGTGAGGGGGAAAGTTTGGATGAGGCTTGTTTTGGTATTTTTTCTTTTGAACTTCAACTTACAGGATGCTAGAGGCTAGCCTTCCGTTGACAGAATTATCATTATCCTTAAACAACAACAACAAAAAGCCGCCATGTATTCCCTTCCCAACTGTCTGGATATTTGCTGGAATTCCAACTAATATTTTATGCTATGATGCAGGATATACCTTTGCTCAAGAACTACCAACCAAAACTGGCAAGCCAATAAAACTCTCAAAAAGCATGCCTCGTGTAAATGTTCAGAAAGTTCCACCAAAATGTATACATCTATTTTTTCCATAATTCCTCTCTCCCTCAGCCACAGAGAAAGCTTTGAGGAAGAATGATTTGAAAGATTTCCTGTGTCTTTAACATCTTAAATCTAAACCATTTCTCTGCTTAAACAATAAAAACATTTATGTTTCTCACTTTTACCACCATAGGTTTAGTATACTAGAAAATACTTGTTCATGTATATCTATATACATATCTCCAAACAGCCTAGTCCCCTCACTGATATATGATGTATTCTACGTCTGTATAGATTCTCGTTCGTGGTTGATTTGTGTTGTTATAATGTGTCATAAATGTCACTAATCATGTTTTGATTTGCAATTCTTTTCTTTAGGGATTTTCTGAATGTTAATGAAGAGTCTATTATAGCTTTCATGTACCTGTGGTGTGCAACTACACGTAGGTTTTCCTTCCTTTGAGTGTTCTTAACCAAACAATTACTTAATAAATATATTTTCAAAGCATATGGCTGACTTCCTCCACTTGGTTATAAAACTTGGTGTCTGGAATATTTTACCTCTACTGTTGTCTCAGATTGAGTTCTATCTTGTCCTTTTAAATCCTGAAATATGTATTTTCCACCTATGGGGAGGTGTTTGTTGTAGTACATTTTATTTCCCAAAGACTCCAATAGTGAATAGTGAGTTAAGCAATTCCTGTAAGAATTAAGAAGAGTAAGGGACGCTGTGATGGACTGTGGTTCACACCTCTCTGACCCTTCCAGCCTGTCACTCCAGAGCCAATACACCCTTCCTGGCATAACACTAATATTTGATCCAAAGACCGTGAGCTCTTTGGGTCAAGGAAAGGATATCTGTTTGACTTGGACTCAGTAGCTACTCACTGAATTTCAGAAAAACAATGGTTTAAGGACTGGATTATGTGTCACCTGGTCATTAGCTTCCAGACACGTGGATTCCAGGGGGTGATAAAATTTTAATGCTAAAATTGGAAACAGCCAACTTTATTTGCCAATTAGGGGATTTTAAAATGCTCTAACACCAAGTATCACCATCATTTCAACTTAAAAATAACATAAACTAAGAAAAACATATGTAAAGGCTGTAATCTCAGAATAAAGGATAGTCACAGTACAAAAATTCAATGTATTCTACATAACACAAAATAATACATGTATGCTGTTTT